CTGTTATCAATGTGTACAACCCTTGTCAGAATATATCTGTAGCAGAACTAAACCACTACTTTTCCCAAACGGGTCCATCACGGCTCATAGTTGGTGATTTTAATGCCCACAGTCAAATATGGGAACCAAACAAGACATCCAACATAACTGGGAAGAATATAGAGGATGTGCTACTGAATGATCCTTCTCTCTGTTTACTAACTCCAACATCTCTGCCCACATTCTATAGCATCTATCACAATTCATTCTCAACACTGGATTTGTCTTTTATTTCATTCCATTTAAAAGTCCAATATCATCAGAGCACTCCGGATATGACCTGGGCAGCGATCATTACACAATTTTCACCTGTGTTGGAGTAGAGCCATCTACTGTTCAATTCAAAGTTCGCCCATCCTGGAAGTTTGTGGATGAGTCATGGGGTGAGTGGGCAACTAAACTTCTCCAAAGAGATGGGCTGCCATTACCAGAATTGGAGAAAAGTTGCACCTCATTTGCAGGCAATATTGTGGCAGCCAGTGCAGAGGTCTTTTCAAAGACAAGAGAAATGGTAACGCCAAAATACTGTAAACCCTGGTGGACTCAGAAATGTGCAGAGGCAGTTGCTGCCAGGAAAGCTGCAAAGAAAACTCATCTCCCAGCCATCACCCACTGCTCTCATAGCCTTCAAACGCTTGGAAGCAAAAGTCAAATGGGAAGTGAAGCAGGCCAAGCATGACTCCTGGAAGCAGTTCTGCAACACTGTTTCTTCAGACACTCCTCTAAAACTATTATGGAAACTGGTAAAAGGCTTACAAACTCCATTCTGCTGGAAATCCCAGCCCTTTATCTCAAATAATGCAGTCCTTTCTGATGCGCACTCCAAAGTTGAGGCTCTTGCATCCTACTATGAAGGCATTTTAAATTCTCCTGCACCTTCTCCTTACCCAACACACATTATTCTCCCACTAGCCATTGCACTGAGTGATGACAGTCCCTCAGACTTGAATGAATCTATTTCTCTCTATGAATTAAACAGATGTCTTGAGTCACTTAAGAAAACTGCACCTGGATTGGACCAGGTCCATAATGAGCATTTGTCTCACTTGCCAGCAGAATATCGGGCTTGGCTCCTAGCTGATTTTAATTGTAGCTTCCGCAATGCTTCACTTCCCAAAGCCTGGAAGACCTCACTAATACCGTTAGTACCTGTACTTAAACCTAACAAAGCTCTCACCTCTGTTTCATCATTTAGACCTCTATCCCTGCTCTCTTGCACTGGTAAACTACTTGAATCAATAATTAACAAACGTCTGGTCTTCTTTCTAGAACAGAACAACTGCTTCCGTGCATCACAGGGAAGCTTCCGTTGCCGAACTGCAGCAATAGATCAGGTTGCCAGGCTGGAGGCTGCAGGGCGTGCTGCACAAAACTCAAAATCTATCATGCTAGTGGCATTTTGTGACCTCACTATGGCATTTGATAAGGTCTGGCACACGGGATTGTTGTACAAATTAAGTCAGTGTGGCCTGCATGGGACAATCCTGAGGTGGCTGCAGGCCTATTTGGCTGATTGCTCCTTTCAGGTGCACTTTGAAGGCGAAATCTCAAGCTTGAAGTCAGTAAAATCTGGAGTCCCACAAGGTGCCATTCTTTCTCCATTGTTGTTCAACGTTATGATGAGGGACCTCCCATCACTGCCAGGGGTGGTCACTGCTGAATATGCTGATGATGTTACCTTCTTAACTAGTAGTCCACATATAAACAGTGCCACTGCCAGGCTCCAGTCACAACTCTCACAGTTCTTCAACTGGACAAAGACCTGGGGATTGACCCCCAATCTCTCAATTGGGGGTGCTTTACAAATAAGCAAATCATACCTCCTCCCCTGAGTGTTGATGGAACCATTCTGGAATAAGTGCAGAATAATAAATATCTGGGTGTGGTTCTTGATGCCCCACGGCTGAGGTGGGAACCTCAAATAACTTCCCTAAAACTTGCTTCCATCCCAATAATCAACCTGCTGCAGTCAATTTCCAACAGGCACTGGGGAGCAGACCGATCACTCCTGTTGAGGCTCTATAGGGTTCTCATCCAAAGTCGGTTGGATTACGCTGCTGCCCTCTATGCCTCTGCCGCCCCCTCTACCCTAGCTAAATTGAATGTTATACAAAATAATTGCCTTCGAATAGCCCTAGGCTGCAGAAAGACCACCTTAATATCATCCATGGAAATAGAAGCCAACATTCCTCCTCTGACCATCCACAAGCGTGAAGGGGCATGCAAGTACTATTACCGCATTATTCAGCTCCCCATGTGCCCCATCATTGAGGTACTACTCCACAATAATCCCCCTACAGCGGCTAACCGCAGGACATCTCACTTGCTCTCATTTGTGTCCAACAGTAAGTCTATCTTTTCCTCCCTACAGATCAATGTTCCTCGTCTACTAACATCACCTCTGATTTCCCCAATACCACCATGGTTTAACATAAAGAGACGCCTCTTAACTGACTTTTCTAATTCAACAGTATCCACCACCAGCTCCCAGGCTGCTCAACAGGTCTATGCAGACCTTGTACACTCAATATACCCAGGATACACTGCAGCATTTACAGATGGTTCCCATAACCCCCACCCAGCCCCTTCAACATCAGCAGCTCTGCACATCCCTTCAAGAGGCATCTTACTGAGTTGGAAACTGCGGCCTGAGGTGGAGGTGTTGGAGTCTGAACTGTTTGCCATCCATGAGGCTCTCAACTGGTCTCTAACAAATCTACTACACACAGAAAAGCTAGTTATTTTCTCTGATTCCCAATCATCTATTCTGTTAATTGGAAACAGGAAGCCTGACAGCTACCTACATCTCATTTTTGAAATACAGAACAAACTAATGACTTTACTTTCTTCTCATGAGGTTTTCATACAGTTCATCCCAGGGCACAAAGGTATTAAAGGCAACAAGGCAGCTGATCGTGCAGCAGCAGAGGCTCATTCCTTGCGCTACCAAATCATAACCACCAACTCAAAGGAGGAACTGACAAGACAACTACATGTTAAGATGGAATTGGAATGGAAAAATTACTGGAGGAACAATACTGAAAACTCAGGGAACGGCCTTTTCATAAGAGCAATCAAAGAAGATGTGGGTAGTTGGTCATGGGCTAACAACAAAAATCGTGCCATTGAGGCTGCCTTGGCCAGACTTCGAACTGGGCATGCAGGAATTAGAGCACATCTGGCCCGTTTCAAATTAGTGGACAGCCCATTGTGTCCTTGTGGGTTGCCTGAAACTATTCAGCACATGCTGCTACATTGTCCAATGCATGGTCTGGCTCGAACTAATCTTACTAACTCACTAACCCAACTAAATGTCCCCTTTAATTCAAAGAACTTGCTTGGAGGAGGCCCTTATTCTAGTCCCATTCAAGAATCAATTGTGAGTGCTTTGGCCACCTTCTTAATTTCAATCAATATGCTCTATAAAATTTGATAGTCTATCTAAATTCTAAAGGTAACTTTACTAACCATTAGTTGACTAAATACAAATACCACATGTGGGAATTAACAACTTAAATTTAAAATCTTTCCCTAACCAAAATGGTTGCTTGTAATAGAACGAGGAGCACTCCATGCGGTCTCAATAGGTTTAAGACAGTTTGATATTATTTAGGTAGTGACTGCCTCATGTGAGGGGTGCTCCTCTTTCCTGCTTTCCAATTTATCCCTAGTCTCCTTCTGAGTCCTGCCCATAGGGGGTCATGTTTTTTTTTCTCTCATGTTTGTGATAAAGTAGAATTGTGCCTTAGCTATGAGTCCAAAGAAGCTCCAGGCTGCCTCCCTCCAGTCTGGAGCTTCGATAACTTGTCAGTAACTTATACAACCCCATGTGAGGCGCTGAATAGGGCATGGTTATTGCTACTAACTGGGCTGGGAATTTTTATTTTATTCCATTTCTTTCTTTGTATTGATTCCTTTGAATTTTTGAAATTGTATTGATTCCTTTAAATGTTTAATTTCTTGAAGTTGAAGTTGAATTTTTTTTATTATAATTTTTTTTGTGCACAAGCTGAATTGGTTGTTGGGCCGTCTCTCTGAGGAGGCCCATGTGTATATAGATATGATGTGCTGTATAGATAAAGATGCAGGTGTGTATAGATATGCTTCGCAGCTCTGCCAAGCTCCTTGGCTCTGCCATGTTCCATGGCTCTACCGTGTCTTGTTCTCTTCAACGGGTTTGCCGTCCATGCTATGTTACATTATTGCATTTTATATTTTACTGTTCTTCTGTTCAATAATTTTTTGTTAAGTTATTATATTATTGTTTTCTTTTATTTATTATTATTATGATTATTATTATTATTTCTATACCGGTATGTATTTATTTTATTTATTTGTTCCTCTTAATTTTCTTTGTTTTCTGTCAAGTAAACTTAATACCTATTTATTTCACTCATTTTATCCTTATTGTTTGTCTGTTTAATTTTTGCATTGATTTTTATTTTTATTTTTTTATTTTTATTTATTATTTATTTTTTTATTTTTTTTTTCTTTTCTGTGCGTGTGTTCTCTCTTTGTTCCAGATTTTCACTTTCAGAGCTGTTAGACTGTTAAGTACCAATCAAACCCAGTTTAGGCAAGGGGCTTTATGGACTAGTTTCCAGTGCTCCTATAAGAATAAATAAGAAAGAAAGAAGTGGCTTAGAGCTCCCTCAAAGGCTCAAACACCACTGAAGAAGCAGAAGATAGTGCTGTGAGAATTTGAAAGTTGAATTGCATGATCTGAATTGTTTACTAACTTATTTTTACCGTTAACCACGAGCTGAATTTAAGGGCCATGGCTAGTCCGGTAGTCCCCGGACAAGGACAACGAGTGATTATCGATTTTGCGTGGAAGAGCGTAGAGGTAGCTGGTAGCAGTTGTATTATCATATTAAAAATTATGTACTTGATCTATTTATTAGTGTATTGCACAATGCACCAAGAGGCAATGCTAATTTTTTCACCTGTCTTTGTTGCAGATAAGTTTATTAAAAGTTCTACAGAATGGGTGTAAAGTTGAAGCGTCTGAAGGGTGGTTCAAAAGGCATGAAATGGAAGCATGGTCAGAGTTGTCTCTCTAACCCTGCTGCTGCTAAATTCAGAGAGAAAGCTAAACTTGGATTCTTTGAGAAAATAGGTAAGTTGATCATGTCATCATGATATGTTACCTTCAGTTAGCCCTAGCAGTTGTTTGAATTTTTTTTTAGTTTTTGTTGACAGGGACTTGTAGAATGTAGATAATAAATGTTTGATAGGAGCTGACTTTGTTAAGACTAAATACTGGGATAAATTAACATTCACTTTACTAGCTAACATAAGTTCTGTAACAGGTTTGTAAGTATAAGGAAATGTATATACATAAAAAAAAAATAAAAAACTTGGGCATGTAATGCATATTAATACAATTATATAAAATAGGTATGGCACTGATTTTATTGGTAACTTGGTAAGCACTAAATCGGTTCTGAAATTTGGTTTGCAACCTGAGAGGCTGAGAGAAGTTAGTGTGTGGACAGTGGAGGCAAAATCTCTAAATTCTCTAACTGCTATTTTGTGTCTGGAAAAGTTTGCAAGTAGGCTGTAGAGGCATTTGTGAATGAATTATCTCATATCTAATTGTTGATAAAACTGCACAATCAGATTGAAAGATTCAAAATTTATAACGAATTGATCACTTTGGAGTTTTGAAATTTCATTCATGAGTGAAAATTTTTATCTAGTTTCTTTATATATATATATAATTTCCTAGATATAAGTAGAAATTATCTTGGTGTACAAATAATTACCGTACCTATTTACTTTAAATTAAAATTATTTACACCTTCATATCTCATGTGTTCATTTATTCTATAACAAAACTCACCAAGATGGCAACATCAACCATATGTTTGTTTGTGTTATGTATAGTTATGACTGAAACATTTATGCTACTTTTTCAGAAAACAGCAATTTAACCAAAGATGCACTGGCCAAGCACACTGCGGATCTCCAGTCTGTTGCGGGCGTTTCACAAGCAGCTTCAGTGCATTCCTTTGCATTGTCAAACAGTCAGTTTGCCTCTGCACCTTCAGTTTTGTCAGTTCCTCGGTCTACGACTACAGCAAAGATCAGCATCGGTTATGCACCCCCTTCTGAATCTGTCAAGAGAGTGCTTGATGTAAGTGGTAAAAGCTAAAGAATGCTTGACCTACTTTTAATGTTTCTGCAAATTTAGCTTCTGAAATTAAAAGTATATTTTTGTGATATAAAATCCAATGTATATAGAAATAATTTTCTGTTTTGTCTAACATTACATAAAAATTTTAGGACTTGAATAGAATTGGATAACCTAATTCTTATTGCTAACAATTATTTTAGGGTTAATTAGGTTATGATAAATTTCCTGTAAGGATTTATATTACAATTGGAAAAATGACTGAAGTCTGTTAATGCTGTTTAGGCATAATAATATTTTCTTATGGTTTAAAATTTGTCACTGAGCTGCAAAAACATTTTTTTTGGTGGTAAATCTACACTTTGATTTACATCAACTCCTTGTTTGTAGATTTCCTAAATTTTCCATATGATTTGATGCTTATATGTTTTTTGAATCTCATTGGCAGCTTCAAAAAGAAATGGAGGACATGGCAATTGATGCAGAAGATGACTTGAAGAGTCAAGCTAAGACGTTTGCAACTCAGTACACAACTTGTTCCATTCCTGCATTTGAGAAGTGAGTAGTATGGTACTTACAGCTGACATGTCATGCCTCCCACCATCTTAGCTCCCACCATCACATGCTCCCACCATCTCATGCTCCCACCATCACATGCTCCCACCATCTCATGCTCCCACCATCACATGCTCCCACCATCTCATGCTCCCACCATCTCATGCTCCCACCATCTCATGCTCCCACCATCACATGCCCCCACCATCTTTCTCATACTCCAAAAAAAAGTAAAAAATATTGCTAACGTTTGAGATTTTTAAATAAATGCTTTAGTTTCTGTTGCCATACCGTATAGGTACCCAGTATACCAGTGATGAACCATTTAAAATAGGTATATGTCCTTGAATGTGTAAGGCGGAAATGAATTATTACTTATAGTGTTAGGTATGTTCAGATTATTGTGTATAATGTAGGTATTACTTTGCTCAGGTTGCTGTATATTCTGAAGGTCTTTATATTGGGTACATCATTAATGTGTTATCTCTCAATTGATAGCAGTTGTCAAGTTTGACAAATTTCATTGTGTTGTAATAAGTGTTATTAAGTTTGACCTCTTTCGTTTTGTTTTCAGTTTTTTCAACAAGCTGAGCATCCAGAGCGAGCACCAGGTGTTGATGTTGTCATTCCACGCGACCATCCAAGATATCATCAAAGAGAAGAACCTCCCTGAAAACCCTTCTTCCTACTTTGTGGCCATTGTGAGTGCTTATTAGACTCCTAAATGTCAACTCTTCTGAACATTGAGATTTCAAAAAACAAAGCTAATTTTTATTAGCTCATTTATTACTGTTCCTGTGTTGAGTAGTTTTTTAAGTTATTAATTGATTGCTTTCATCACCTTGATTTTAAGAATGACATTGTTATATCCAAGTTTAACAATTTATTGACACTATTTATTGATCTTATTACTTTGAAATAATATTTTGAGATTAAAATAATTGATTGCTCTATTTCTACTATAACTCCTTTTATATTTCATTCTGCTGCTGCTAGTGTGCCACCTCGATGAAAGATCTGAATACATTTAATATTTTCCTTATGTATCTGCGCTTATTAGCCATGGCATCCGATTACATGGAAGACTTGTACCGTTCTCAGATGAATGGGCCACGGCAGTAATAAAACAACCTAGTATTGAAAAAAGTAATTCAAAGAAATTTTAAGATTGAATATCTCATATTATGAACATGAACATCTCATTAAGATAGAATTATCGTAGTAAACGTTATTCCGTAGCGCGATTCCATAGAGTGGTACCTACGTTTTCAATGCCACGACCGTGTCGATCACAAACATTCAAAGGTCATCCTGATGATGTTGCGCTGTCTTCCTTTTAACTGTACTTTCGTCTTGCTTCTTCTTAAAATACCTCATGGTTGGGCTGGTCATGTAGTTGTACATAGACATGTCTGTAATGGTTGCCACTTTTATGACGTTGCTCTCAGTTGAAACCGTCCTGCTAATGCTGTAGACCGTGACTTTTCCACGCGGTAGTTTGTGTGCGGTGCTAGAGACTTGCATGATTTGATCTACCTAATAATTGCTGTCCGTACTGCTGCTTCTTGTGATGTCTCACTACTGAGTCACTATCGACTTATAGATTTTTGGTGCTCCTATTCATCAGTCTTAGTTTAAGTGCTGGATCGAAGTTATTTGCATACATTAAATGTTCTAAACCTGGCGGGTGATGTCCGTGGCAGTCAACGTCAGCGGAGCAGCAGACCTTTCTTGTGTGACAGGGACTTCCAAAGAACCTCTAGCTCTAGCACGAATTTTGGATTTTTATAGAGGCTGAACTGCACACTTATAACCTATCTCTATAACACTCCGCTCCCTTAGAAACGGTTTAAAATACCCTCTGTGCTGCCCTCGGGCAACAAAACAAACATATTCTTTCACCAAGTTATCTTCGTGTTGCGGTGAAGCCATATCAGGCCGATCATTTTACCTGCCTACCGGTATGTCTTGCAACCACCCGCAAATTCTAACTTCACTCAAACATCTGTTCAATATTATACTACGTATCAAGTTAAAATTATCCTCTCTTTATTCAGATAATGTCACTGGAAGGCATGTTGGAAGACAAAGATAAAGTAGCAGCAGGTCTTGCCCTACTAGTGCGCGTCATCAAGACTGTGCCGCTGCGTGTGCTGCGTGCCAAGTGTGACAAGTTCGGCGAGATCCTCAACACGATCATCTCCAAGTACCAGGACTCTGATAACGTCCAGCTGCTCTCGCATGTATGTCCTTATTGACTTAAATATTCTACTCTTTATTGTATTGTCTGTGTTTGATTATGATGTTTCTCAGGTATATGAATTATTAGTAAATTCGCCATTTCTCTCATATGCAGAGAGAATTAGATTTCTTTTCATTTATTTCTCCATGATTATTTTCTCTGACATAATCAGTGTTACCGGGTACCAATAGGCTGCAATTTATTTCCTGATACATACCTACTAAATGCTTTATGTTATTCTATTTTTTATACAATAATATTTTGTTGTTCTTTCCTTTACTAAATTATGGGCAAGCTCAAATTGCTTCTTTGATGTGTGCAATTTTATACTTACTGCTGTATTAATTCATTACTAAGGTACTGGGTTGTCTATCGATCCTGTTGCGTGCACAACACTTGGCTCGATGGTACAAAGACGATGAGCTAAAGACTTGGCTGAAAAACATCCTAGTGTTCACTCTCCACACTCAACCCAAGGTATGTGATTGCGCTGCCTCATTCTGTGACTGTGATTATTCCTTGCACGTTTTCTTGACCAGTTGGTAGGCTATGATCTAGGTTATAATTTTAATTCTTTAGTTATTACACTTTCCTCATCATAAATTGTTGTTCGATATAAACTACTTAAATATTTATTGATTGATTTCTTTCAATTTCTTTAACAAATTTTTACAGACATTAAGTCAATTTGGTTGTCTAATTATTTGACGATTCATGACTTCTATAGTTATTATTTGAATAAACATTGATCAGGTGCGGAAGTCCGGGCAATACAACGTGAGTGCCGTACTGAAAGGCTCCCAGTTCATGGTGACCAGCCCGCTGCGCTGCGTCGGTGACGACGCGGTGACTACAACCGGCGATACTGCTGATGATGGCTCCTCTGATGACGATGGTGAGGGAAATGGGGAAGAAGAGTCTAAAAGCAAGAAGAGAAATCAACAGAAGGAGGAACAAGACTCCGGCGATGAAATGGAAGCAGACCAGCTGGTAAATGGCGTTGCTCATGATGATGATCTTGAAGAGCTTGATAAGCCTCTGGAGGTTCATCCTGCAGCTGATCTTGTTGCTGATTTCCTCATTGGACAGCTTAAGACGAGCGGGACTTTGTCGTCCTCCAACAAGACCATCTTACACATGCTTGTCTTTACACGTCAAGTCATCATGGCGCTGCCAAAACACAAGTTACAGGTTAGTCGATTTTAATTCAGCAGGATTATTTCTTCCTTTTCTTCATTTAATTTGTTAGTTTGATATATGACCCCGAAGCCAGATAATATTTAACTAGTTTGAAGTTGAATTGCCCAGTTCCTCATTCTGCGAGACAACCAGTTTGAAATAATCATCCAATCGCAAATCCTAATTGAAATCTGGTATGATATAATTGTGCACCTTTTATCTTATTAACCGTTTGCCATTTCCTTTCTTATTGTTAACACCTATTAAATTGCTGTTCAATTGTGCAGGGGGTGCTACAGCGACTAGTGAGTCTGGTGTCACTAGGCACTGGCCTGGTGAACTCGTCAGTTATGCAGGCCCTGCAGGCGCTCTGTTCCTGCAGCCCTCCTCCTTCAGTCTTGCCCCTCTCCCTTACCAATCACTTGCTGGGCGTCCTTACCAAGCACACGTGAGTCTCCTTAGTATCCCTACACTGTTAGAAAAAACGGTGAAAAAAACGGTATCACTGGCGTTCTAGTGGCCGGTCGCCCCGTGAAAATTAACTGTTTTGCCGTTTTTATCAGATGTTTTACGGATTTCTAGTGTTTAATTAGAATAAAAACGGCGACACGGTGTTTCTTTTCACGTGCCGACCGGCCACTGAAACGCCGGGAATACCGTTTAAGGTAATTTTTCTAACAGTGTAGTAGGTACGTATATGTTGGTATGTTATATACCGGTAGCAATCCCATGGCACGCCGGAACACGTACTCAGTCTCGTTACTTCCTATTACCTCAATGTAATTATCTATAGCCTCGATACCTCAATATAATTATCAATAACCTCAATAAAATTATCTAAATATTGTTAATATGAGCCTCCCAATATGAATGAATATACCTACCTATAGACTAGAGATATATTCATATTGGGAGGCTTGTATTAACAATTTCTGTAGACGATGGAAGGAACTTAGGGTTACCTACACTTTGTGGAGATTTAAAATCTGTTTGAACCTCCACAACGTGCACACAATAGCACAACGTGCTTCGTAATTGAAATTGAAGCGTAATGTTTCATGAGCCTCAGGCCAGGCTGTTGGTATGTATAGACCAGCGACGTAATGTTGCTCATATTCCATTTAGTACTTATCACATTTTGGGCATTTGCTGTCACCACTCAAGAACAATTGAACATCCATCCAAAATTAATACGAGTATGATATAATTTTGCTGTCTACTTCACACACCATTCGTAGTCCTTCTTTCAGTACTTAGTGCTTGATTGCTCACATTCTAAATGCTCAGTCAGATTACACAGTGATTTCCTTACCAAGTGCACTTCTTCAGGGAACTTTTCATCTCGCATTTCTCTTGTCCGCTGATAATTAATTACTTTCGAGTCTCCAATATAATTTATGTTATTACCTGCTTTCACCTCTCTCTTGCCTCTCTCTCGTACTAATGGCTGTATAACTGATCATTTGCCTCCGTATTACCAGGCCCGGGGTGAGCAGCGCCCTCATCGCACCTCCCCACGACCCCGTCGCCGTCAGGTCCTGGAGCGCCGTCGTCACCGCCGCCGTCCTGCACGTCCTCAGGTTCTTTCCTCGTCTCTATTTCTGACACTCGATACTCCAACAAACGTCGCTGTCGCTTCCTTACTTAAACTTGGGTTTATTTTTCAGAATCTCGAGTTCATTCTTTCTTCCTGATATGTATAGTATTGTTCCAAGTATATGATTTTGTACGTAGAAGTAAGATCCTCTTTACATTTATAATTTTGCGTACAGGTTGGATGCCGTGCAAGGGCTGGAGAGAGCCTCTGAGTGGTTGTCTGTGCTGCTCAAATACTGGCGCTCTGATAACGTGCAAGTGCTGCTCGCGGTACGATTATTTTTAACTAATTAGCCCTCGTGATCTGTTCACATTATAATAAATTTTACTGAATAATATGGAATATAAATATACATTTTAATTTTTTTCTGATAACATTCTGCTCCATTATTGGTAAATTTAGACAATTGAACATTGAAATTGCTCCATAACTCAATAATTCATGAAGTTTAGCCGCTGATCATTTAAAATTTAGTGGTTTATTTGTACAGATTCCTTTCCTAGCCTGAATAAATCGTTAACAAAAAATGTTCAATTTTGAGCACCATTTGAAGCTGATCTGTGGTTATGTTAAATTCTTTTACCTTAATACGGTACTTAAATTTAAGAATTACTTAAATTTTACTTAAAATTAAATGAATTTTAACTTGAATTATTATTTAACTGAGATTTCTAATCAAACGTCATGATGAATGATTTTGCCAAAATTTGTTTTAAACTCAGAAAAGCTCATGGTTCAATATCTGTCTCGTTTCCCTATAATTACAGTTGGATATGCGCAATATTTCAAGTTGTGTTATTGTTTCTAATAGTGTTTATTTGTAACTTGGTTATTTTTCAGGTTGAGGAGTCAGTAAGCAACATTTTGTCTGCAGTGTACGACATATTGACCACGGAGACCACTGCTGAGCACGAGTCTACCATACGTACGATAATGCATCACCTGGAACAAGGCTTGAGCTATCAGTGCCAGGGAGCATGGCCCTGTATTTTCCGTCTGTTGGGACAATGTTATAGTGAGCTGGGCCTTTACTACGCTCCCATCATGATGCCCTCCCTCCAAAACCTATGTCAACTAATGGCCAACGACAGCCTGGCTGCCGGAGGGGAGCTTGAGAAAGCCATCGGCAAGGCAGTGCAGGGACTGGGGGTCGAAGCTGTTGTCTGTTCGTCGCCCTTCGATATCACTGGCGACATCACCAAAGATGAGAAGAATTTATGGCTTCTTCCCTTGCTCAGGAAGTTTGTTAAAGGCTCAAGACTTTTATTCTTCAAGGATAATTTCGTCCCGTTGGCAGAAAAATGTTTCAATGTTGTGGCTAAGCTAGAAAGCGAAGCTGCGCCCAACGTGCGTCTTGTGTCTACTTATAAAACGGTTGAATATCAAATCTGGGCCATGCTTCCTTCATTTGCGTGCGAAGCCGTTGACGTCGAAGAAGCCCAGTCTAATAAAGCCTTTGCAAAACTAGTATGTCGTTTAATAGAGCATTCTGAGGCATCAAGAATAGATGCTATGGCAGCGCTGCGCAACATGATAGCTGCTGATGGATCTTCTTCAGGGCGCATAGCTAGGAACTCCAGCAATTACTTGCCTGCACTGTTCAATCTATTTGTGAAGGCACCCAAAACATCCCACAACACTGACAAGCCAGATACAATTGACCCATCGCACAGACTTGCCGCCTTGTCAACAATCATTGCCTACCTTAAAATAGTCCCACCGTCTCAATGTGAAACTTCCATGAATGCCATCCTGGGCAAATATAAAGCTGAGACAAAGCAACATCGGAAGCGAGCTTTACTGCATCTGGCGCGGTGTTTTGTACCTTATGTAAACTCCAAGCTTATTGAAGAACTCTTTGAGATCATCACGCCTCTCATCAAGACTGCCAAAGACAAGAAAGAACAAAAAGCTGCATACAGGGTCCTCGAACAGGTATTATTACAGTTAGAACTGTTAACCTAATGTAGCGTCCCTCAATTTTGTATTTGAGATTTGTCCAGGTAAAACAAGCTAGTTGCGTATATGGTTATAAGTCTCCTCTAGGTTATAACTCCTTGAAGTTCCATTATCTCGCAAATGAATCCAATAAGCTGTAAATGACAGCAAATTGGTTGTCAGGGAGCGTCCTATAGCGCTTGTATAAATCAATTCTTCGATGGCATAACGGGTTTTGCATCTCCAGTGAGCTTTGTTTTTGACGCATAATAGAACTCGAGGTTGTGTTGTTGGCAGGGGAGAATTCCTTGCATTTTCCCTTCTCAATATTCATCGTACAGGTGACAGTCTCGAGTGAGAAAGCCATTGCTTGAATGTCTTGTTATGTCGTGATGCTTCCTTATTATATGTAATTTCTTATTTTCTCTGAGATGCGTGCACTGCTCCTTTTTAGCGTATTTTCTCATTTATGGAAAAAATGCACTATTGTGCTCGCCATGTCCGTCTGTCTGTCTGTCCGTCTGTCCGTCCGTCAAGTTTTCGTCGACGAGAAAATGCGCTCTCTGTCACTCGCTGCTGTGAGTACTGAGTTATATTTTTTGTTGACTTTGCTCACTGGCAGTTTGAGACTTTAGCCACTAGTTTGTGATGAATACTTTTTTTTTTTTTGTAACGACTGATGCCAATGACCTGTTGTGATAATTATCTGAGATTTTTCTGCAAAGTTTATTCATAGTTTGACGATCTTGAACAATTATGTCTACTATACCACTAGAACAAAAGACAAAATTTTATATCGCCTAAACTGTCGTATTTGTCCACCTATTGTTTTTTTAACTGTCTTTGCTTGAGTACTTTACTAGTTAAATGCATCAAAAGAAATTCTATCATTTTAAGCTAATGCAATCCTTTATCTCTTTTAAATTTTTGTCCCCATGTATATGTATGTTGATGTGTTGTGTGTTCAGGTGCTGGCGGCGGACACGGATGGCACGCGGGAGTTTGTCAACAAGGAGCTGCTGGCGCTCTCTGACCTCCTCATCAAGAGCGTCTCGAAGGCAACCAACAGCTCCAGGGCGCCCAGACTGCGCTGTGCCAAGGTATGTGATCGTAATTAATCCCTCTCGCTTTTTAATACTCTTACCTTATTTTCTGAGTATGGTTTTCATTCAGCTGGTCTAAAGCACTAGAAATCTCTCCCCTACTACTACTACTACTATACATTCATTTGGTTTTTCTGTTATTTGTTCGAATTATGATGATACTTTTATATAGAAGTCAGTTTCACATAAATGCACATATTGAAGTAACACCGGGTACCATAAAAATCTGGTTAACTGTGCCATGTCCCAGAGAGCTCATCAATGTTTGCTTCAACTTGGCTGTATAGAGAGATATTATTGATCAATTACTAGGACATAGCCATGTTTGTAGAATGTCTACTTGCCTCCATACGTATTCTTTGCTATGTTCACCCTCATCAGTTGTGTAATTTTTCTAGTGTAATTTTAATGTTTAGTGTAATGTTTTTAGGTGAAATAAATTAAAGAAAAAGTAAAAATCTTGTAATAAGATTGATTAGTTGCCGTGGCTTTCAGAAAATGAAAGGCTATTTTAGCTTACAAAAATATGGTTGTGACATGTTGCTGAGGAGAATAATTAATGTATTCGGCATTTCGGCTATATAGTATAGGTATTTAGTAACATGAGTAAATAGCGCATATGTTTGTGCAGGCTGTTTTACTGGCAGTGAGTGAGAATGCAGGGGCAGAGACGCGAGAAGAATTCCTGCAACGCGTAGTGGGCGAGTCTGTGATGTGTTGTGGCAGGAGCAACTCTACAGCCACGCGCCGCGCCGCCTTCGCCGTCCTGGCCGAACTCCCACAGTCCCTCAGCAGGATATTGAAGGTCTGTTACGTAGGGCACTCGGTATGGGCAGGATATTGAAGGTCTGTTACGTAGGGCACTCGGTAGCCTTTCAACATTGTCACGATATGCCAGTCAAGATGATTCTGATATCACATATATAATGAGAACTCGAACAAGGTAGGGACTAGCTAGTCCAATAATTGAGCTCTATAAATTATTGATGACTCATGTTGAGAAATGCTTAGATTTTATGAAACTTGAAGAATAGTATTTTTAAATCGTTGATAACAATTTTTTTTCAAAGTTCGATGCTTTAAATTTTGCTGTGTTATCGGTGAAATCTCTGTAGTGTAACCAACTTGGAATAAGTAAGTCCTTTATGAAATTGGTAGCATCTCACTATCGTTGAGATGCTACCAATGATTTCCGAGTTTGACAATAATTAAGAAATACATTTTCAAACGATGATGGAAATTTTCAAACGATGGATGGATGATGGAAATTTTCAAACGGAAATTTTCGTAATCATCCATGGTGGAACTAAGAAATTAAGAAAATGTTTTCATTGTACAAAACTTTCTGCCCATTTCATGAAAGTTTTTCTTTACATTATTAAATTCAAGTACGTGCAAGGACTTTCACTCTCCTTGCAATCGTCAGTTATTTTATGCCTCAATTATCTATTAACGGTCTAACTCAGTTATATCACCATTAGATCTCCGAGAATCTTACTGAACACATTTTATATGAAATTACACCTGGAATTCTGACAATTATTAAGCTGTGTCTATTAATATTGGGTAGGTGAACGAAGACACGACGGTGCGGGAGTGTATGAGGCTCTTGTCATCTGGACTGCTGGGCCGACCGTCGCTCTGTGCCAACACGATTATTGCAGTCACCGCCTTCACATACCAGTGCAAAGGTGAGACTTGCTAATGAACAAAGTGTGAAGTAATTTAAATTTTAATTTTTCAAAAATGTGGAGTACTTAATTACGCGTCGATGTTATTATGACTCCACTTTTTAGTGGAGTATTTCCTTTCGATTATTATTCATTGTATAGCCCAGCTGGAATTTTTCAGTGAGCCTGACTTAGATGATTAGTTTCATGTTTTAATGAAATCCTGTTTGGCTCAACATACTGGACGTACGAACCTTCCTACTTGAATTTCCCATTTTCAATTGGATATATTTTTTGTGATTTATTTACTTTCAATATCTTCAATTTACTTTTATGTTTTCTAGAAACGATGCCTCTGGATATCCTGGAGCAGAACGTGAGCAACATGTGCTTGTTGCTGGCAAGTCCGTCGCGCGAGATCGTGCAGGCGTGCCTGTCGTTCGTGAAGGGCGTGGTGACGCTGTACCCCGTGGCGGTGCTCGGCCCCTGCGTCAATAAAATTATTAACGGCATCGTCTCCCTCACCCCGGACTGCTCCAGGAAATTCAGGCTCAAGACCAAGAGTATCCTTGCTAGACTCATGCGCAAGTTCGGCGATGATTACATCACAAGTGAGACCAATGCACATTAATACAGTGCATCTTACTATGACAATTGTAATGTGAAGAGAATATTACAAATTCTATTAATGATTAACACGATTCGTTCCATGTCAAAAAATCATAGTATCCGTTCAAAGAGCATGGTTAGTTATGTTTTATATTGTTATATTTTTCTCATTTTTATATACCTACATTATGTGTAGGTATTATATTTTTGACGAAGTTATACACAAGTGTTAAAATACTGTGTATGTTACAGAGCTGGTGCCCCTGAAGCACGTGACGCTACACAAGCGCCTGCGTAACCTCCGCAAGGAAGCGTCCAGAGCACGCAGAGCTCGCGACGCAGAGGACGAAGAAGAGGATCAGGACGACGATGCTGATGAGCTCTTCTCTGGAAAGGCCCCCAGCACGTCAGTCTGAACAAATTTTTTTACGACAATTAATTTTCCATATAATATTAGTTTGTTGTGCACAGACATTGTCCATGTATCCATCAATATATACTAGCAGACCAACATTCATGCAGACCATTGATCTTTACGCTCCTGAAACGACCAGCAGCAGGTTTTTCCATTGCAAAACTGGCTGTTATGCCTTAGTAAAATTGATTATATTTCATAGCATCCAATTTGAGGATAAACGGTTTCACACATGTCTTACCCTAAATTCGATTAGTGTCACTCGGATTTTTTTTATTTTTTTCAGTTTAAAATGTTATTGTTATGCAGGCTGGATGAAATCCTGGCCGAGATCGACCCAGATCTCAACGACGAAGATGAGGATGAAGCTCCTCGCAGCAGCCGTGCAGAGCAGCGGCGCCAGAAGAGCAAGCCCACGACGGCCTGGGTCGCCGAGGGAGAGTCTGACGACGAAGTCCTTGACTTGCTGGGGCCGGAGGCCGCGTCTGCAATCATGACCAAAAAGCCTAGGGAGAAGAAGCCTGCTTCCGCCCGCAACCGCAACGATGATGAGGATGAAAACGGAGGATTCAGTTTAGACCCTGCAACCGGAAAACTTCTCATCATTGAAGATCGTAAAGAGAAGAGAGATGCTCATAGTTCCGATCGTAAGTAGTGCAGACTGCAGAGTAATTAAACGTTACAGTGCAACAGTATTTAAAACAAAATAGCAAAAATCTTGATTTTTATAAAGAATAAATTTGGCTTCAGTCCTACCTTACCTTATGAACTATACGAATGTTAGATGTAGCGTTCGTTGTTGGACCGTGAATGTGGAACTGAGGCAGAGAAATTACCGTGTTTTGTCCTGAGTACCGGTTAATGCAGATGAAGTGGATTTGTCTGGAAATGGCTGTTTTCATGTTGAAACTGCATTTCATGCAGCATTCATTGCTCGTTTGTATTTTTCTAGAATCTGGGACAAACTTACAGTTTCGTGATCATCGCTGCTTCCATCGCTCGATCATTGCTGTCAAAAATTTCCTCTTTTTTTTTTCTGATCATATGCGGCACATTAGGCTAATTATTTTTCCATCGTTATCTAATTATTAATCAGATTATGTATTATAATTGTCAAGTAATTTTCTAATTATTTTCACAATTCTTGGGGTTTGTATTGCAGATATCGCCGTGGACGACATGGACGACATGCTGCGTATGAAGGATGGCGCCCAAGCCGGCAAAATCAGCAACAAGAAGCGCAGCCGCCCTGACGATGACGACGATGATGACGACGCTCCTGATGACCTGCCGCAGCCCAGGGTGGGTATTGTGTGCCTGCCTCTATTGTTTGTTACTTTATTGTATTGTTTGTTCTGTTGTTACTTGACGTGAGAAGTGTGCTGGAGCACGACTACTACTGCAGCCTTGAGTCAGTATTGTGCGCCTGCCTTTATTGTTACTTGACGTGAGAAGTTTTGCTTTTTCCAAAACCTAATTCTGCACTGGTAAATTATTGGAACACATTAGTTGTTAAAATTAAATGATTTTACTTATGCGTGGCGAATTCTTTATAAGGACGATGAATTAAAATCTCGTTTCGAACTTGTTGAGCGTCTCTCATTACTTCGATAAGCGTATCTACTTTAGTTGGTACGATTTGGATGACTGATTTGTTGATGGCTGATTTGTTTCAGGATCGAATCCCGGACGGCCTCAGATGTTTATTTACGATTTTTTTTATTTGCTGTGTAATGCAAATCAATATCATTCAATATCAAAACGATTTTGGTGTGGCTCTTCTTGGAAATCTCTTATATCGTCATTAAAACTACCAAATCAAGAAACTATATGTACGACCTTCCACTGGGAAAATTTCAAATGTATGTTTCCTGACTGCAGAAACCAAAGAAGCCCAAGTTCGACTACGGCGCTGAGTTCCGCTCGAAGAAGGGCCGGGGCGACATCATGCGCAAGGGACAAAGGCAGAAGCCCTTCGCTTACGTGCCTCTTAGCAAGAGCAGCCTTAACAGAAGGTGAGACCGCTTCAAAAAAAGCCTATCTTAATCTTGTGTCTACGAAGTCATTAACTGTTTGTACTTACCTTCTTATATGAAGATAAGTTGTGACAGTAGATAACGAACAACTGAAGCTAATTGAAAACTACCAGACTGTAACTATGTTTGGGGGAGACTCTGGAATATTTACTTATTCTTTCAGTGTATGGTTCAATGATCTTGAATACTCTTAGGACATGCTAATATGACTTATCAACTATTTTTACGTCATCGTGGCCCAAAACTATCTGTTCAGTATCTGTAGAGGTTTGTTTCCTCATAAATGAATGTTTTTGTAATGCTTAATAATTATTCCCATCAAATCAGCAATGAAGAATTGTGAAATTATTAACAGTAATTGTATTTCAAGTAATTGAATTAATCATTTATTGTGGGAAATGAGTCGAGTTGTCCAGTAGCTGCACATTGAACAAGTCAAATTCAAACAAGTCAAAGTTCGTTGCTCTTTATTTTGGTACTTATATCATATTATATATGATAATTCGGTACTTACCGTATATCATATCAAGTCTGCCCAAACCGCAAGCTCACCAAGAGTTTGAAAGCAAAGAAGACGCCAAGCAATTGCACCAAATCTTCAACGGAAACGTTTTCATTGAAGATGTGGTGAATTCACTTGGTGTTTTCTTTGGCATTTGAATTCTTTAGTTTTCGTAACTAGACTCTTAAGATAACCTTGCGAGATAAGCGATATACTCTTACTGACTGCACGATTATTTTCCAGGAAACAAGCGAAGTACGAAGGGCAGTTCAAGTCCGTGGTGAAGGGTGCTAAGAAGGGCGTTCGGCAAGGCAGCAAACTGCGGAAGAGTGGCAAGAAAAATTTGACTCGTTAAGACTTAAGAATTCATGTATATTCTTAGGCTCTTCTTGTTGTGTATAGCTTCTGGTTATTAAGCGTGTGGTTCTTATTAGGAATAATTCCCTTCACAGTCACTATCAACTTCCAATGCTACTGAGCATCCAAGTAACCGTTGCTGAAGGCTATGATTAACCTTAACATTGAAATTAACATAACATAAAGTTTAGAAAATATTGTGAACAAGCGAAATGTCATTTCAGTGGTTGTTCCGATTACTGAGACAAATAGAAGTCATTCACTTTATTCTCTTCAGGTAAATTTTTTCAGTTTCCCTTTATATTTATTATCTTGAAGGTGATCTGCTTTCATATCAGAACCTGATAGGTGAAACTAATCTAAATTCAAATTTTCGCCTTGCACTGTTGAGATACTACAAAAAAATGAAGGATTTTTCCCTATAGTGAATGCGCGCAACATTGCGCCTGTATACGGAGCCAAATGGAATACATATGATCGAGCGTGGATGCATTACTTTCACTCAATCCACCGCCTTGAGCATTTACACCATGTGAAGCTCGATGGTTTATAGATTCATCATGCCACTTACAGTATTGTGGAGGCCCTTAAACGAGATTATTTAATTAGAGCGGTAGTTTCTTATAATGGAGCGAGAATGCTCCTTTGACTAAAGATTAGCGCGCAGTGTTCGATCTCAACGTCTTCAACAATCGTGGAGCATTGCAACACAGCGGGTAGCCCCACGCGAGTTCAGCGAACTGGACCAAAGAACTCGCTTGGAATTGTGCAAGCTAAGAACGTGTAAAGAAAAGGCAGCAAGAGATCCGTAAACTGTATTACATCCAAAACAGATACTTTATTTACACGATGTGCGTTTATTAAACGTAAAAGACAGACTTTATCTTGTGCATACTCATTACACTTGAACTCGTACAGAAGTGTTGAACATGAGCAGGATGGCACTTGATCGCCCAAGGACTCAGAATAGTAAAGTATGTCTGTTCCTTGCCGCAAGAAAATAAATCGTAAATGCGCGCGCGCAACATGAACATCAAGTGAAGAAGTAATCAACATTCATGTTCTAGAGTGCATATCAAAACACAGAGCGTCGCTTTGAACACATCACGGGAATTATTGTAGAACTTAGGACGTATGCCCTCACACACTCCTGACCTGCCCCCACACACAACACACGCGGCTTGTTTTGCTTGAAATAATGTTCAGAAACACAACCATAAACCCGATCTAATTCAAGTGATCTACAATATCAGCAAGTGAATTACTTCCATGTATAGCACAACAACCGTTCGTATTCACGCATTTGTTCAACTCCCTACAAAACCCGAAATAAATTTTAAAGAAATCAACGGGTGGGAAATAGTCAATCCCTGATGCTCAAGGCAGACCTTCCGCAACGCTGAACCTGCTAAAAATACGATAAATTTTACAAAATCTTCAGTGAGATTTAAGTTCAAACCTTCATTTCTTACGGAACTGCTTCTCAACACAACGCAGTCTTCCTTCCTATATAACTCGAGGCGACAGTTCCATAGGGTCTCGCGCGTACATGTTACGGCAAGCATTTAAACTCCATATATCTAGAAAACAATAGTCTCTGCTACCACTTCAAAACCCTTAGCAATTAGATTAAAGATTTATTATATCATTTATATAACAGCACGATAACAGATACTTAGAGAGTAGAAAAAGATGATTGTAAAATACGTAAAGAAACTAATATACACAGTAAAAAAACACGTAACATCTCATTGTACTTCATTTTATATCTAAGAAGACGAAGAAGGAAACAGCTAGACATTCTTGATGGTGAAATGATTTTTTGATTATGACACACAGTGGCAGTGGCAACGAGTGTCGTAGCACATCAGTCACGGAAATTATCAATAAATAGTAAGTTAAATTCTCCTCAAAAGAATTCGGTGATGCAAGTGGTTCGCGACCGCTTAGACAAGCCTAGCTCCCAACGAACCCGCACAATTTCTACGTTATTGTCGACCAGATTCAGTTGACTACATGAAAAAAATATTGGCAAGATGAAGCTATCAAGAGACGTCTTCTAACACAAAATTTGACATTTCTGATCCCATATATATCTACTCCATATGAATATATCGATACGAATCACTAGAAATGCGTCAACCCATAATTTAAGTATCTAAATTCTCAGGATAGCTGCATTGCCTTGAACAAATATAACAGCGAGTAAAACGTCGAGGACAGATGCGCTCCTGAATCATCACCACGACCACCAGCCACGGTAGCATTACGGAACGACATCGTTCCCATCACTGACGGAACGACATCGTTCCCATCACTGACGGAACGACATCGTTCCCATCACTGACGGAACGACATCGTTCCCATCACTGACGGGACGACATCGTTTTGAGGTCGTACTATCAAAAATAGTTAAGAGTTCGTAACTCTGTCTGCCATTCTCTGACGGCTTCCCTAGCTAAATCCACCAATCACAGACAAGAAATTGGCCGCTGCGTATGTACTTCAACAAGTTTTGATAGTACGGCCCCAGGTTATTAAAAGCGTATCATTTATAAGCTATGAATATTAATTGGTATCACGTCTTAAGTAGACAAACGTCTCGTATCAAGTTGACTGTTTCTGATGAAACTATAGACAAAATGATGAAAACATCCACATGATCATTTATAGAAGAGAAGCAAAATTGCATTCAGGTTTCAAAATACAAAGTTTTTCCTCTAAATAGACCTTCGAAAGGCCGAAGGCAAATACGTACTTCAATGTAAATGATGGGTGCGGTCAAAATGAAGATAATAATACATTAATTATTTAAATAGTAATGGTGAAATGAAATTCGCCTACTCGTACCATCAGAGAAACGCTGATTTCTGGAATCGCCAGGTAGGTTTTATATAGTTTTCTCCCAATTTAATTTCATATTCGCCTCTTCTACAATAAAACCATATTCATTATGACGTATGGATGCTCGAACATTCGAAAAGTCTGAAACGTTTAACCAACGAGAAGAGCACAAGACAGCATGTACGATCAATCAGTGATGGCTGGTCTCATTATCACGACGTGATAATGCTTCACAATCATCGCCCGAAATTAATACAAGTTAGGCGGATGCTTAATTATCATTATCGTCGCACAAAATCACGCTTGCCTTATCTTGTCCAGGATTATAATTCAATCATCGGTTCAGGAATTCAGTTCACAATATCAGAAGGCTGTAGTAATTATAATTTAATTTACGATGATGAAAGAGACTTAGAGAAAAGAAAACTTAAGTCACACATAAGTTTCACGCGTGTAGCAAAGAGTCGAGCTAAAAATTTGCACATCGTGAAGAAATTAGGATTATGAATGTGATTAACTCGTATATAATGTCAGTGTGTAACCTTCCCAATGAAACAAGGCACATGAATATAAAGGAATTAAAAATGAATCACTCTCATTGATAACGTTAACATCAAGTATTTGATCACAAATATGGTACTGAAATATTTACATTGGTCATTTCGGAATACCGCATCCATTAAGTACAATTTACAAATTGGCTTGAATATATTTGAAAATTTTTTGTAAAAGATCGAGAAAAATTGACATTACAGACTTTAGACAACAACTCGCAGCGTTTGCAGGAAAAATCGATTTAAAGAAACGATAAAGGAAGGAATATGGATGCGGGGAGTAGATCATAGTCGAGACAGAGGATTGGACCAGAGTTTCGGTTCCTTTTGTCGTGCCCCACACAACGCAAAGATAACGACCACTTCATTTACGGTTCAGAGTGAACATTGATGAAACCTATAGGTAATATTTAACTTAAGTTGATACTCGATGAACGTAAACTTCTCTCAGACAACACTTTTTTCGATGCACTAAAATTCAAATCTCTGTTGGGTTGCATGTTACTATCACTCGATCCAGAACTTATCATTGTATCATTCTGTTTTATGACAATTTTAAGATTATGGCAGATTTGACTTTTTTCAAAATGTGTAATTGAATTATTTTGATGAAGACATAATATCACTAATTATTGAAACAATCGAAGGTTATTACAATGGTAACCTGAGAGGTGCTAAGCCAGGCTAGGGAAATGACCAACTACCAACTTACAGTAGCCCTCATCCGCTCGATTAGTCACAGGTTAGGTAAGAATAGCATTAGATAGATAGGAATAGCATTAGATAGGTAGGAATAGCATCACAAATGACATGACCACTGCAGTAGAGGCCACGTCACCCGCCATGAGCGCAGTGAAGACAACCACGACGAGAGAAAAGTTTAAGCTCGGTCAACAAGAAGCTCATTAGCGCCCTCAAGCGTGGGTGTCGGTAGCGGCAACCATCTCCTGCATTATATGTCGTGCCGTTGCATGGAATCGGCAGCCAGTTGCCGAATCTGCAGAATCAGCATTTCGTTGCTGATTCAGAAAATCTGATGTTAGATTTAGAGTTAGAACATAAATCGAGTTAGAGTTGGAAGAGGTTAGGTCAAGTTCCTTTATATGTAAATATTTTAAAGTAAAACTTGGCTGACTGACCTAACTCCATATTCCTATAGTATAGAAATGCTGTTTTAACAGATACGGTAAACTGGCGCCGATTGCATAGAATCGGCAATTTCGCGATTTCGGCACGACATATATATAACAATGTTTATTTATATTATGAAATATCAATACTATAAACATGTCTGCAAGCAGTAACGTATGCGCCAACTGTCACAACTCTGAAATATTTAATGAAGAAGATAACGCGAGAAATTACAAGCGGCTTAAAGACTCGCACAAATTCCATCCTATATGAGATAAGAAGTGCTAAGCGCTTCAAGGAACTTGAAGGCAATTATTTCTACGTTTTAAATTTAAGCGTTTCTTGCAGTGTAAAATGACTGATGTAAATATTAAAAATACTTTGATCTTGCATCAAGTGGAGGAACTCGTCTTCTTCTTATTTTGTTAGCATTGTGCCAAAAATTGCTATTCATTCATAAAACCCTGGAAAAATGAATAACTTTCAAAACAACAGATATACCCTAAACACGAGTAATTTAAAGAATTGATTGAACGTGTTGAGTTGGAGAATTTAGGTAGGGTGGAATTACAAGGAAAACTAAATTTTTTAAAAGAAATAGCGATCGTGTGAACCGACATCGAACAAGGACGGTGACCGCGCTAATTTCACTTCATTGAATAAAATAGATCACTTCGTATCTGGGGTTACATTTTCATTTTTTTTTTATTTTTCACTGAAATTAAAAAAAACGCGCATATGATAACAGGGAAGCAAGTGATGCTGGAATGAACCATTAAAAGAGATATGTTTGGATATATATAGAATAATACGTACGTCGTAGATTGAATCAAGTTTAGAATTTGAGTTTGTTTTCGTCGAATGCATTCAACAAGAAATGTTGTGTTTGTTAACTCATCAGTTGGCATAACTTCAGAATTTCAGCCAAGTAATTGATATTTCTTGGAACCAAGTTCAAAAACAGCATATATAAATCACGAAACCTTTGACAGTGAATTAAAAAAAAAACAATAAATGAATTTAGTCAGAGATAAGAATGAACACAATACAAGCATTAATATAACCTGAAAGTGGGTAAATCATGGTTCGAGTAAACATATCTTGAGCAGAGGGGTATGAGAGTTTGGATATAAAGCCTAAATTCAATCCTTGTAAACTGCATGAAAAAAGTCAAGCTCGTCACTAGTAAACTAGACAACTTAACATCGCAGTGGATGTTGAGCTGAAGAACTAACTAGTTCTGCTGAAGATCAAGCAGTTCATTTGGCACAAGAGTGTAGGTGCTTCTAAGCTATGGACGTTTGTGGGCAACTGCCTCAGCTGGCGAGCAATATTTCACATCCAGCAAAGGCATTATTTAAACTTCCAATTGGTCACGTTTACTGTTTGGCTAAAGTTTCCGCTATTATATAGGCTCTTATTTGTTCTGAACACTCACTTCTAATTAAAATGCACGCATATAATATTTTCCTTCTTTAAACTCTTAAGTAAAAATACTCAATTATTAATATATCAACTATTTAGACAAAATTAAAATAATTGACGGAGAGCTTGGGTGTGAACCAGCAAGACCGCATCATCTTCGCTCTTTATATGAAGAACGTCTCGCAGCAAATCATTAAAAAAATTTTTTCAAGTCAAATGTTTCTAAATTCTGAATGGCAATTCAAGTTAAAATGTCAATACAAAGTATTTTCTCCACAGTATTCTAATGATAAAAATTTCCGATTCAACGCTGGACATTTTTCTTACAGAGCAGGATTCAACTTTTATCACACGCTGGAACCGCAGCTTACATTTGCTTACTTTAATTCTCACTAGACAGAATTAAAATCTAAAAGCCATCATTAATATCCAACTCTCATTAATCCCGGGCTTGAAATTAAGGCTTTCACAAGAGACAATGCGCAGATATGCAAATCTTCTCCATGGTCAATTCCAAGGCAAACGCCCGTTCATCCCGTCAAGAGAAATATATACATCATACATGCCTCGGTAACTAGGAGATTAGTTATGATAAATATGTATCAAATTCCATGCTACATGCGATTATGTAATCGCTCAAAGATAAAGACAGCCGTCGTCAGAAGATTAACGAGCGAGAAGCCAAAGAATGACATCGAGAGTTGTAATGACTACGGATTATTGCGAAGAGCGTCGTATAGTGAACAGCGATAAAAATTCCATAGATGAAATGCAGAGAGACGCATGATACCAGTCTATTACAAGAGCATTCAATTAACTATCTTCATTGCCACAGCAATAATTGCAAAAGTTCAAATATCACAAGAAACATTGCACCACTAACAGTATACATTGTGCGAGCCACCACGGAGCAAAAAATTCCTGATACACAGATAAATTCTAAAATTGATCTATAAGTTGTTATAAGAGTTAAGTTCATAGTTAAGCTTTAAACATCAAGGATATTTTGTATAAGTCAAATTAAGACATCTCAGCAAGAACCCAAGCTACCGGTCATGTCACGGCCGTAACACGATATGATAGCAGCAGCCATTTTAATCCTCACAGCAGACGGTCACAAAACAAACTCGATCAAACGTTAGATTAAGTAGAAATGTTGATTCAAAAGTTTCTAGAGGAAAATATTATTTTCCCTCAGCAACGTGCCACAGCATTATCATGAGCATGGCTTGAATAAAAAGTTATTTTATGTAGTGTAGTTTTGTTCCGATGATTTATACCATCCAGACGCCATCCTCAACGCCAAGCGATGGCAGATTTTAGGCCAGCAAAGAAATATTTTCTGGATATATAATTTATCATGACTGTTATATCTCTACAATAAAAATAACTTCTGGGTGTATAATTAATTTCATAAGCCAACATAAAAGTCCTCATGGCATATCAATCCATCAATACAAACCCAAATACAAGGTGGCAAACAACAACAAACAAGAACATATTTTGTGTAACATAAAATGTTAGTAAGTGTAACACAAGGGAACTTTAACTTGGTGTTATTGATTACGAACGCTTCGAGAGAAATTGCTTAATAAAACAAATGGAATAAAATGATTCTTGTTTCGGGTAGAGGAAGATATCTGCAGGATCTATTGCATCAGAAGACAGGATGACTCAAATTTGATCTGGATTAAACTGACTATAGAGAACAAACTAAGATGTGACGCATATAAATCTATAGCAATGAGACCGATAATAAGAAAGATCTGATCTTTTAATTCAAATTGTGACAACTCAAGTTCGAGAATAATTCCTAAGTGAAAGAGAAAAATATTTAAGTTCAGAGATATTCGCAGGGGAATAGGAACAATGAAATTTAGGGATAAAAAGCTATAATAATCTCAGAAACAAGAGCCGCAAAGCCCAATGCAAAAGCAGCGAGTACAATAATATGCAGATAAAATACTACGACCAGCTCACTGTAGTAATATCAAGTGGTAAGAAATGCTACGAGAAACCAGCACCCCCAAATGCACAGTCTCACGACATCCTTCACTTTCCGGCCGTATGTCCAGTATTTAATATTATTTACGGTGACAAGATTCATTACTCAAACCTGCACCCAGCGTTGTTTACATAACAAGACACAATGACATGGAATGCTCTCAAGATATGAAGCTGGTGCTCTCAACACCAACGCAAATATTCACAGAGAAAGACACGATATTAGCAGCTAGCAGTGATGAAAGATCATTACCAGGCGACCTCCCGAACACGCAACATTAACATCAAGACAGAGATGCAAAAGTTTAGGTGCTGTACAGGAGAAAGAATTTCTGCACCTCCCATAGAATTTTCCCTATAAGAAAACAACAGCACACCCTATAACGATTATTACATCTTCAAAACATAGAAATTAATACAACGTCTGGGGTCACAACCTTGATGATTGACAAATTTTGTCAAGTTTCTTTTGTTTCCAGAAGTCAAAGCTTTTCTTCGGTAAGGAAGGTCTTACTAAGCTCCTTAAATATCAATCCCTGAATTTGAGCTCATGCAATGATTATTATTGACAGAAAATTTACGTCAGCACTTCAATATGACACGGTTCGGATCATTTTGCATTTCATGTTTCAATTGCAGGCTTAGTTTACAGAGACATAAAAGTCGTGAGTGAATGAGAAAAACTTATGAAAAACAGAGAGTGGCAATCCGAAACATTTAAATTCATTTTATAAATAATAATTTCGAATACTGTTTGAAATATATTGCACTTTGTTACCTTCACTGACTAAACAAGTAATTATTTCAAGTGTAACACAAGATGAAAATGCGGTTTTCAGGCGAATTGTGTGAGCATAAGCTTGAGTCGCACCAACACGCCAGCCTCGGCAAGAATGAAAAATGCTAACTTCTGCAGACCAGTTCAGCAGCCTTGAGAGTCCAAATCATCACAGCTAAACTCCAGGATAGAAGTGTTGGGTGAAACGAAACTAATAATCAAAACTAACGAAGCTAATCCTGTGAATAAGTCAATTAATATGAACTATTTCCATTTTTCTTCAAAGAGCGATGTTTCAAAGTAGAAGTGAGAAACATCAGAAAATAATTTATTGACGGCAGTTTTAACATAAATAGTAAATTTCAATAAGGAGAACAAACTTTGAATGAAATTGGTGGATAGTTTTATGACAACATTTACGTACCCTGGTAGCGTAAAAATGCTTCCAATATCGAAATAGCCGACAAAAATTAGTGCATATAAATGATGGCAAATTTTGAAGGTACGTAATTCCTAGATTTGCTGTCAACGGTTTTACAGAGACCGCAGCTGTTGAAACTACACAAAACCAAGGTTCCTTAATTTTAATTCGCTAACTTTTTTGTTGCTGAGATCTAGGCTGCTTCATGGTGGTCTTTTGCTGCATTATCAAGACATGCGCTGCACGTAACAACGCTTTGTCTGCACAGTTTAATCAGGTGCTACTGTTGCGACTGCTGCTGCACCTGACGAAGCTGCTAATGCTGTATTACAATTGGTAGTATTGCACTGCATATGGCAAGACTGCACTAATATTGCAGCGAGTGCTGCACTTTAGCGGTTGGTGCTGCACTATTGCAGCTGGTGCTGCACTATTGCGGTTGGTGCTGCAGGAAGGCAGCACCAGCAGGCAGCTGCGGTTGCTGAGGGTCGTGGTAGTGCGGTAGCGCCGCGTCGACGTCAGCAGCGCTGTAGTCCAGGTCCTGACCATCCATCATGTTCACGTCGTCCACGCCCAGCTGGCTGTTGAACACTCACAAATGTTAGGGGACATATCACTTAAATAATATTAGCACTGAAAATTAAATATAATATAATCACTTAAAATAATCTGGAATAATTGTTACAGATTTAGAAAGACATTATTGACATCTAAGTCCAGTGCTTGCGGTACAATATTTGACATCTAAGTCCAGTGCTTGCGGTACAATATATCGTAACAATTCAGTAATGATTACTTCAAATTATGAATTTATAATTAATTATTATCAACCTTAAATAATTATTTTAATGGTTAAATTAATAAGTTATTAACTTATTAACCTCAATACAGGTAGCGAAGAATTTATTAAAAAACACCGGGGATTATTCCAAAAACTTGCATCATGGAGTTGATAACTAATCGAGTTACCCGAGGAAATTGCATCAAAAAGTTGACAATTAATCGAGTTATGAAATTGCATCAAGGAGTTGACAACTAATCGAAATACCTGAGGAAATTTTGCAAGTTTTCAGGGTCGTCCTCAAAAACTGCGGTGAAGTCCTTTAGAATATCATTATTGCCGTCTGAAACGAAGAGCACATTCTATCAACACGTAATTAAATGATATATAATATATAATTTTACAGGAATCTAAACAAACTAAATGTTGTTCACTAAATTGATAGCAATGAAATGTGCAATTGAAGTTTTTGGTGTTGAATTAAAACTTGTGACACCTAATGGTTATAATATTGATACAAGCATTAACAAAACTGAAATAGATGATTTAATTCAGCTAAAAACTTGTTTGCTTGCATGATTTATATAACCGTTATTTCAACACAGCTTTTCAATCAGGGGTCTCATCGACTGGTGACAGAGAACTAAAAAATGAAGCAAGGATTACCGTGGTCAGTGAGCACAACTTTAGGTATAGAATTTGGAGTTTGAGGAGTTTGGGGAGTGGCGGGGTTCATGTTGAGGCTCTGTTGACTATTGCTTCCCCCGGGGGTGGCTGGACTGTGGGGACCCATGGACGATGTCGGTGATGCTGGAGGTTGCTGGAGACGTTTTCAGAATGATTAAAATATACTTTTTAAACCATCAGATATTTACATAACCACCATAATTACTAGAAAAATTGAAAGCACCCGTTTCTCACGATACCGATAGTATTAAGGGAAGCTCATGATTTTATATTAAGAACAGTAACAAAAATGACTTCTTTAATAGTAAAACAAATGCTCACTGCATCTGGCAAACGAATATAGAGCTACTATAAGAGATCATAACTCGTATTTCGTATTCAAAGTACAAATTTCCCTGTATAAATCTCATTATTGTAGACAAATAAAAAGCCTCCCTGTAAGATGTTTGTTGAAAAACAATTCATATAACACTATCAAATTTCATCCACTCAAGAGATGCAATCTTAATCAACAGATAACTATGGCCCACAAATTTTTGGGGCAATAGCCATATATGAATAATGTTGAGCGCCAATATATGATTTACATTTAAGAGAAGATCAGTGACGACACAGACTCAACTGTATTGCTTGTAGCGTAGTTATAAAATAAATAGATAGCAATCACTAAGTTCATGATTGCAAACTAAGTACATTACACCATATCTTCTAGATGTCCAAATTATCAATACTAGGCAATAATAACTAAATATTTTGTGATAGTAATACAAAATATCTTTCAAGAAATATCTTGTAATGGTAACAAAGGAGGGAGAAATACCTACCTGCTGTAACGGAGATTGAGGCAATTGAGAAAGCTGAGGTAGAGTATTGATGTGCGGTAAAGAGTGTTGCGGAGTAGCTGTGTCCTGCGATGAAGGTGATGTAGGATACGCTACACAGGAGAGATTAGGACTCGAGGACGGGCTACTGTAATGTCCACTGTCGGTACTCATAGGCTGAGGCTGCTGCTGTAGCTGCGATGTTCTAGAGTCGATATTGTTCATAGGTGCGTCCAACTAGAACGAACACAAGAAGATATATTTCAGTGACCTTTGAATAACCATCGCAACAACCCTCCATAACGTTGCAATATATCACCCAATAATATTGCAACATCTACCTAAAATATCAAAATATCCTCCCATTCTACGAGTATATAAGTGAAGTAAGCGAGTGGTTGGTTTAATGATGAGAGAATAACTATTTTCATCCATTGCATCCAATATTGAAGATATAGAAATAAGATAATATCAAAATAATAGCAATGAAGATAGAGAAAAATATTATGAAAAGACAATAATAAATAAGATAGAGCAAGTGTACTAACCACGGTAATCTGTTCGAACTGATGGTGGAGCTGCGTGGGGTGTAAACTAGAGTATGTAGGCGAGATGCTGTCGTAGGAGAAAGGCTTGGGAATGTTGATACCGGGGGAGGATACAGGGGACGGGGACGCCTGGCTGGGGAGGCATCCTGGGGACGGAGGGGCGCTACGGGAGTCGGGGGATGGACTACGGTAAACCCCCACCGGAGGCCCAGGTGCCGTCTGTAAAGATACGATCACGTCAATGCTGCACGTTACGATGTATCATGAGTATTGTAGGTCTAACATGCAATGGATACCCTAACAAAATTTAGAGTCGCCCCAGCTTCTGGTAAACCAAATCAGAAGCTGCCGCGTCTGTAAATTTTCACTGGGTATATTTTTTAAATTACCAGGAAGTATGGACATGCCAGAGAAACATGCAATAAACGGGGAAGAAGGTGTGAGTAATAGGTATATGTAATGGCTGTATTACCAACACCGAGTTTGCCAAAGAAATGAAATGCCGTACAATAGACACTCAAATTACATGGATGTTTTTTGTAAAAAAATCACAAAATAATTGTGAATTTGTCAAAAAAAAATTACAAATTATGGTTAAGGTAATAACACAATTATAAAATGTATTCATCAGTGAAAAACAAAGAATTGAATGAAAACATATGAAAACAAAGAATTGACAAAGAGTAAATGTAAGAAATATTTCCAGGCATAGAACAGTTTAAAAAATGAACCCTTGAACTAATTTCACTGAGGATTCAACACTACCAATATCATGACATGCACATGAAGACAGATGATGGAACTAGAATTAACTGGGCAAGAAATGAAATAAATCGCATTCCATACATGCACAAAACTATTACAAATAGTATATACATGACTGGCATTATGAAAATAAAGTTTAGAGCACATGCCGACACTGAGAAATATCACAGCTGCTGCCAGAGGTGGTCTGGTGCTACTATTGCTGCCAGAGGTGGTCTGGTGCTGCTATTGCTGCCAGAGGTGNATTCAGAAGTGGGTCAAGCCTAAGACAAGGGTAACATTCAGAAGTGGGTCAAGCCTAAGACAAGGGTAACATTAAGGTTGAGTTCAATTGGCGCCTCTCTTCCAAGTTCATGTATTTTACACGTCGTACATTTCTTAGACTTGGGTAGACAAGCCACGCAGAAAGCATTGAGCAGCATTTTACTTCCATTAAGCGTCTCTTTGAACGCGTCAATAAAATTTCTCGATAGGCATTGTTTCAGAATAATATTTCATAGCAAGAATGTCATGTACAAAGCTTTTTCGATTGAAATTTGTGAAGAATATGTATGCCAGATGAGTTAATTGAGAACTTTGCATAGATAAATATGAGTGAAGATGGTAGAATGGAACAAATCAAGTCAATTGTTTCTTCTGAAATTAGGTCCAGGGCCTATACTTTCAAAAAAGTTAAGAGATCGTAAGCTCATCAGCCAATCATTGACGGCCTTTCAAGCAAAATCCACCGATCATAAACAAGAAAATAGAGCGCAAGTACTTACATTCACTTAGCAAGTTTTGAAATTAAGTGCAGGCCCAGAAAGTAACCTCCTACCAAGTAGGCGAGGCTAGCTTGTACTGAACACATGAGCTTGGACGAGTGATGGCATAAGAAGATCAAGCTGGCAGATCTTCATGAACACTTCACCTTTCTGTTACAACTTACAAGCTCTAGTAGTGTTAACAAATTCTTTCTTCGCCTTGAGTTCATAATTAATTAATCCATGGTTAACAAATTTTATAAATAACTTAAAATCATTGGAGATTAATAATGAATGTACAGGCAAGATATAATATTAATCAAAATAATTTCTTTTAATATTGATATTTACCATAATTCAATAGGTATTTAATATTACTTTTAATATTCCTCCAAAGTCAACTAATATTTTCATAAATATGAATTTTTCAGGTATAAAGTGGCAGAGCAAGTTGAGAGAAGAGAAGTTATTCAAGATATGATCTGCACATAAGACCACAAGTCTACGAGAGAACTGTGAGCGCCTCAGAGGGAAGGGAGGGAGGGGGAATAATAATAACTAGGCCTACAGGGGGCAAGTTCAGGGGAGGGAGGACTAGAAGGGGGAGAGGGACTGCAGGACTCCTGCAGGCTTGGAGGTCAAGGAATCGAATAATGAAAATCTTTAAGACAGCAAGAAATATAAAATATTTAAAAAATAAAAAACAATCGAAGTTTTCAACAAACAACAAATGTTGGTTGAAAGTAATTATGATAATCTGTTGAAACACAGATTAGGCGTTTGTCAAAGACATCACTTGCAGGGAAAAATTGATGTTGCTTGAAAGTTACCGCAATCAAAGTTTGCAATGATAAGGTGCAAGTTCAAACCAGCAGCTACTGGTGCACAAAACCAGTAAGTAATGCTGCAGGTTCAAACAAACAAAGTTTGTTGAACAGAAAATTAACGGCAAATGCAGGAACTACCACATGTATGGGGCGCGGGTGCTGAATGAGGCTTGCTTGTACTGGTAGAAAATGAGGAAATATAAGCTCGGAGGCTAAACTACATGCGGGCTCTATATTGCTCTCTAACACAGATATAAAATTTCAAATAAAACTACTTATTCAGAGGGAAAAATGCAAAGCTATAGCGATTGTCTGAAACTATCTGATACTGAGATTTACGCTCCCTTAGACCTCCTACATTTGTGACGGATAATACCTACTGGAAAATTATAGCTTGTATCCACAAGCATTAACTTCGCTTTTCTAGCTTTCAGGATTCTCATTGAGATAAGTGATAATGGTTCATAGAATTTTTAGGTTGCAAGAATAAGGTTATTGTTGTAAATTAATTCCAGTATAATATACCGCCATTGTGAGAGTCGCATGAAGAGTCGCTAAATTTCTGCAAGAGTCGCATGAAGCTTATCCTGAATAAGGATTTCCACAACTCACTCGTTCAGTAAATAGGTAACGGTTGGGAACGAGTTGATTGAAATATCATACATTGATGATAATTTTCTAAAAATTCCACAGCACAAACATAGTTACTTTCCATATATTGTAAAATGATGAATACCTACACAGAAATATGGAAAAAATAATAGCAAAACACAAAAGTAGACAAGCAAGTGCAGGATACAACGATTTTCAGCACCACAAGAAGCATCAACTAAAATTGTTACGAGCCAAGGAACTTCTTGTTCTTTCAAGGTATAAAAAAATTGAGGATAGAACTTCAATAAAAAATTCAGCAGCAAGCAATGGACAGACGGCAGGCAGAAACGGCTTCACAAAGACTGTCCAGAAAAAGAGACGTCTTACCAGAACACCACCGGCACGTCATCTAAATACTCAGATGTTTTTTTTTTCACTCTATAGTCTATAGCCAATTGAACTTTCAATTCATTAATTGAAAATAACATGAGCTAAAAATGAAAAATACTACCCTAAATACGCTAAAATTCGTAAATTAAACTCAAGTTAAAAGAAGTGCTCGCGATTAAGTTAAGAATTTGCATGTAAAACCTTTCACTTTATTGCACTGCTCTCTTCTGGAGCTCAAAATTTTGTCGTAATGAGAATTGAATTCCATGAAGATAATCATACAGACTAGTGATTGAAAAATTGACTGATGCTTAAATTATTTTTGCTTTTCACATGAAATAAGAATAAAGGTTCAGTAAAGCTCATGACAGAGTCTCAAATGCTGCACTGAACTACAGAGCTGAAGATCTACCCGCTGACAATAAGATGAATGCTACTCACCCACCTGGTCAAAACTGGACTGAGTAAGCGCTTTTAGTGTAAGACAACTTACGTTTTTCCATAGCAATAAAGAACCTAACACATTCAACCACGAAGGAAAATTAGTGATGATACTTCTGCCTGGGGCCGTAGTATCACATATAGTTCCGAGTTTGTAACGAATTCAGACGGCTTTTCACGCTGAACCCACCAATCAGGGACAGAAAATCGTCCGCTACATGTACCACTAAAACGAGTTTTGATAGTGCGGCCTCTGATGAATAATACTGAACCGAGCAGTAAATGGTAAAGGAGCTCCATGGGTTCAACACTCACAGGGCTGGATGGTATAGAGCCCACACCACCCGCGGTGGTGGGGTTGTAGAGGGTGTAGGATTGGGTTGTTTGGTAACCTAACGTGCCGCCACCTCCCGTGTCAGCCATACCAGGATCCACCAATACAGAACCCTGTTAGGTAAGGCATTACTGTTAGAAAGTAATCAAACCATAGTATATTAGCGTTATACACTAAGTTATGTCTGAGATAGTTGATCTAATTGTACTAAACATCCTCACTGCATGGTGGTGCAAGAATATCCCAACCAAACGTACGACTAACTTTGTTTTCATGAAAGAATACCACCACCCATTATACACAGTGCACCAATTTAAAGTTTTTGGTTGCTCCCTTTCAAAAGTTTTCCTTATTCCTATGAGGATGCCTTCAGCTTTATAATCAACGTTTGGTCTTGATTGTTGCAATTTGCAGTAAGGAATTCATCAAGGCAGCATACTAGTACAGCATCAAGAAAGCTGTAATGTAATATCAGTCAAATTTGGAGGGCTAATGTGTTCAATTTAGCACTAAATACTACTACATAAATACAGCCATTAGTTATAATTCTTTTCAGAAATTTGCTCATCCTAACAAAGGAAAGCAAGATAGAAATTATAGAAAGCAAGAATGAGAGAGAGCACATGAAAATACTATGATTTTGTTGCATGTGGAAAATATTCAAAAATAAGAATGAACACAATAAAAGGATAGAATTTGCAAATAGAATATAATAAATATTTATAGCAGGTAGGTATAATAAATAGAATTAGAAAAAGATTGCCTTTACAAATTCTTAAAAAATGTCGAAAAGAAATCTCACCTTGCATGTGTGCAGGAAGTTGGAACTGACTATTGAAGGCACAGATAAAAGATTCTGCAACAAAACACAAACCCAAAACAAACAATGAAAAAAAAAGGAAAACGTGGATGTGCTTTTAGGTGCTGCGGAAACACAAGTAAATTCTAATGCAATGCAAGAACACAGAAAATTGAAATTCAGTGCAGGAACACAAGTAAATTGAAATGCAGTGTCACTGCAGCTTGACATGCCAGGGCTGCGCTCCTGTGTCGGTCGGTGGTGACTATAAAATTTTGATAAAATCAGAGTTTAAAAATTAAGAGTCTAAAAATTAATTTTTTATAACCAAGTTGTGAAAAAAAACTGTTGTCAAATTTTAGTTATGTATTTCTCACTAAATCAAATGTGGGCCTTGATGAATATGAGCAGAAAATTGAAAAAAAAAAAATGCAATTTAAGCATGATCCTTCCAAATAAAGATAGGACGTTTAGGAGGAAATATCAGAGACCCACACTTATATATGAGCAGAGCCGAAACATTTCATAGAATAAAATATATAAAATCGATTTGTCAGTCAGCAAAAACGGAGAACTGTTTTCTCAAAGTGCAGGATGGATATCAAATTAAAAATCACACATAACTTAAAAAACAGCATATAGCAAAAAATAATAATGTGAATAACAACCATTTAAATACCGTTGTCACAAAATCAAGCTATGAAATTAATGCAAACTATATACTAGTAAAAAAATGGTGTGCAATAAATACGCTCAGCAAAAATAAACAGGCAGAATTATTTATTACTGAGATATGATGCGGGGAAAAATGTAGAGAAACATGAAGCAGGACACTAAACTGGGATGTTGTCAACAACTGGTATATTGTTTCACTAGCAGCAGGCAAGCATTGCAGTGAACGCAACACAAACAAAATATCAGGACATCAAAGTTCACCACAGGATTCCTTTGTTTTGATCTCGTTTGCAAACACTCGCACATTACCTTTGCTGGTAGGAATGCAAATTAATCAGGGCTGCCAAATTCAATAAGTTTAGCACCGCTTAATACGTTCTAAATACCCAAGCCTTTTGAATCATTCATTATGAATCAACTTTTTTAAATGAAATTTACAAAAAGAGCCTACATATTAGAAAACAAGGATCATGAAAATTGAAACAGGCAGCCATAGGCCTTCTGCAAAGCCTACTCCATAAATTGGTAAAGAACGCTGAAATTATCTCAATTCACGGGACATCAACTGATATTTATAAATGAACAAGATGAACAAAATTGCCACCACATCTTTGGATTCAATCAAGTTCATCATTTCACCTGAATGGAGTTAGGAGAAATGATTGCTTTAATCTTCACTAGCAACAACCCGTGAATTTTGCACTACCACCGCGGCAGAAGTGGAGGCAATAGCAATTATTAAGGACCTGTGAGGGAGGGGCTTGTCGACACGGCAGCTGGGGGTAGGGCTTGGGTTTGTGGCGTCGAGACAGAGATGGGGAAGGTCCTGGTGAGGTGCCGGACTTGGGGGACTGTGGGGAGGACGTGGCCGGGTTGTAGGGACCGCTGGGCACGCTCCCAGGATATGGCTGTGAATAATTGGTTGTAGTGAGACATAATAATTAGGATATATTTCAGGTTAAAGCAAATCAGACTCCTAGGCCGATAAAATCTTAATAAAACTCAGTTCACTGTAGAAGAATGTGTAACAATTGAGAAGAACATCCGAAATATAAATATTTTCTCATGATATATACAACAGAAAAATGAAAAAATTTAATACAAGAACGTGAACAAGAAAGAATAAATTTCCTCAAAAGTTGACAGATTCAGATAAAAAAAAAGATAGTTGAAAGGCGCACAAGTTCTGCCACAATCCTAAACAAACAAGCTGAATTATATATAAAGTGATATGTAATCAACAACATCCAAATAAATGTTTATAAGTTCAGGAAGTAGTACCCCGATCTCGTCGGGCAGAGGGACACTCATAGGGACGGTGGGCATGAGATGGTCTCGCAAGGTGAGGTCTGGCAGAGACCCTGTGTTGGCAAGACCTGATAGACCCGAGCTTGTGCCGTCCATGTTACTGCCATCCAAGTGCTGCTGTTGCTGCTGCTGGAGGTGGTGGTTGTGGTGCTGAACGCTGTACAGTAAACTCGTGCTGCCAGATCCAGGGATGGCTACGTTGTTGCTTCGAGGGAGGCTGTAATCAAAAAGTTCATCTTAACTACAAGTTCATTATATAAATTCTATGATTATGCTTCATAAATACAGCCATATTTCTCTCTCATTCATATTGAAGCTCATTTTACTACTACTACTTTTAAACCTATGAAAGTTTATTTTTTGGACTCCAATGAGGCAACTGAGAATTTTTGTAAACTTGCTAATTTATTGATTACAGCTGCTTGTAAGTTACCAACATATATATTCAACCAAATAATATCCTATCCCAGCAGTTTTCAATGGGCTTGAATGAAAAAAATTAGTAGGTACCTTTAAACTTGTCTTAACCAATGCAACAGAAAATTGAATTTAAATTACTTGATTCAAGAACTCCCACAAATTTCAATATGAAGCAACAATTTCAAAATAATCCAAAAGATTTCCACTTAAAACAATTACCTTCTTTGATTTAATTCAAATTTTTTAATGAATATTTTGATTCTTTAAAGACATCAATTGTCTCTTTATTAAACATAAACTAAATTAATGAGTAAACTTTATCGAACTTATCCAACTCAGTCACATTAACTTAAACTCAAAGAATTGAGTGCAATTGTGCAACTTTATTCATAAAGACAGAAATGTGTTGGTGGGGTGACACGTCAAGCATGCTCTTAGGTCTGTATGGAACACACAAACAATGCTCACCTGTGTTGGTGGGGTGACACGTCAAGCATGCTCTTAGGTCTGTATGGAACACCCAGAAGATGGTTGCCCTCCAGCGGCTGTACGGTTGGGTAGGCCACCATGTGCTGGTGGAGTGATGGCACTGAATTACTGCGGGGCAAACTGTCTGGTGGGGGAGACAAGTGGGTTGGTGGGTGGTTGACAGGGGACCCACCCCCACCAAACCCACTTTTGCTTGGCCCGCTGATCCTGCCGATGGGTGATGTGGAGTTGCGGTGGTGAGGATGTGGATGGTGTGGATGATGGTGATGTGGATGATGTGGGTGATGAGGTGAATGATGGCGAGAATGACTGTTGTTTAATGTAGTTGTGGTTGCAGTGGCGTGAGGAGAGGAGGAGTAAACTTCTTTCTTCAGAGAATGAAGATCATTGACGGCTTCCTGGAAGAGAAATTAAATTCTATGAAGTTATGAAGTCATAGACATAATTATCATGAGTTCAGATAAGCAATTTATATTACAATCAGCAAATTTGAAGTTTTATTTTTTAGCCTCTAATGTGGCAATCCTGTCAAGTTTCAGAGATGAATAGGAGCATATATTATTAAAAAATTCATTAATAATTATAAGTAGATATTTCTAATCACATTGATTCATTGAAGACTTTTTGCTGCATATAAATACTTCTTCATGTTTGATTAAAACAAGAAAAACTAGCTTCTTCACACCAATCTACAGGAAAAAATGCTTGCAAGCATTAGCTTAGGAATATAAGAAAAACTAGGAGGCTCCTAGGAAAACTGGAGTCATGACCAGTGTCAACTTTATGCTTTATTTAAATTTAAGGTTTTCACATTGACATACTGAAGTCCCTGACCATGCATGTTTTCAATTAAAGGAGCTAGCTAAGTTACACTAAGGTAATATGCTACTGTTTTTCAGAGCAGAATTCAAATTTTAGAAAATTTGCTATGTCAAAGATAACCTTATGAAACATGCACTTTTGCTTTACAGAAATGTGAAGAAAATTACAAATTACAAAAGCCAGATGAAACTTGACTAACCAAAAAAGATATTTATCAATACTAAAACAGGCATAAATTATAAAAGTTAAGAAATTTTCCATTGACCAAAATTAAATTGTGTGTAAATTACATCTACATCACCATTGTGTAGTTCCACTTGCACTGATACAAAGTCTGAAATTGTTGGTATTGTTGCGCATAACAAAAAAAATTTATTTGAATTTGCAGTCCACACCAGCCTCTATATAACTCTAGTTAAGGCCCCATTATTTTTACCAGGTGGTGGCAATGTTGAATAAATATGACATCAACTTGCCAAAGCAAACTTGGCATAAACATTTTCCAACTCTCAAGAAGTTTATGCAGTAGTGCTTTTGGTGGTTTCAATACAAAAGTAGAAAACTAGCATTACATGCACCCCTAGGCATCTTGATGGCAGTGAGTAATACATAGACATTCCTATGGTGTTATGACTTTAATAATTCAATGATAAGCAACAAAGAACATTATCAGTAATCCCAAATAACATGGCAAACCTCACATTTGCCATTCATGGTTTCTAGCAGTTCTGTCACACTAGCATCTGAGCCAAGATTAGGTCTTAAAAACATGGTTAGTGGCAGTGAATACTTTTGACTGATCATCATTAGGGATTTTAGGAGCTACTCCTGAATCAAAAGTTATTTAATTATTGTTCTATTGATTTTTCTCTTGATTGATCAGCCATAACTAATCACTTGCATATTAGTTCAGCTACAGGTGAGTAGTGGCAGGTGAAGGCTAAGGTCATTTTGAGTAAAACTACTGTGTGGGTGGGGACATACACTTGAGTTAGTTTGAGTAATTATACAAGTGCGTGGAGATAGTGTCAGGTTAGTTAATACAGTAGAAATGTTGTAGTGATCATTTACCTGGAGTCCATCCCCTGCTTGGTAGCACCTCATCGAGTTATTATGCTGAAAATGAGAAAACATAAAATAAACACAAATTCAGGAAAGAAAACCCTTGTCTTGAGGCATTCAACACAATAAGAGGAAAATTTATGAATAAAGAAGCAGACAAAATTCAATAATTAATACCAATAGAAAAATTTTAGAAGGTTCTCAGATCTTTTAATGAAATGCACTCAAACATTGAGCCAGCAACTGGAATTTTTGAGTTAATGTGCTTAAATATTATCCAAGAATGACCTCATCAGATTAATTGAATTTTTGTGTAAAAAATATAAAATAAAATTTTCATTCCTATTAGTGGTACCGTAGGTATTTAAATGCTCAATAACTTTGAGTCTTTCAGATCTAAACTGAACATCATGTGATATATATAATGTGAAACATTATTTATGCATCCAGAATATCTTAATTTTATAGTGCATAAGGGCTATGGGTACGTAGCCATAAAATTCAGGACTCTTTTCAGTTGCAGACTCATCAGCCTAAACTCCATCACCAGAGACAGGATTTTAAAACATTAAGACATAGATAGAAAACTTTTACAACACAACAATTTGCATGACCAAAGTCCAAAAATCTATTCACTAGATACATGCAGTGCAATATGAAAGCAAACTGCTACCACTAATTGTCTTATGCATGTTTTCAGCTTGTACATTTTCAGCTTGTATATATTTATACAGAAGTGAATTCAATAAAGAATGGGGTCTTGCTGGAACTCATTTCGAGGCTTAGATGAAGAGTACCGTAAAATGGGGTAACTTAGACCACTTTTTTTCTTATAAATGATGCCATTTTCTTACTAGCTAAATTAAACTTGAATTGAAACATGCAAAATACAGGTCTATACTCTAGCTTCACTCACCATAAATTGCTGGCTCCTGCCTCTCATAGTCTTTATGTAATTTCAAAAAAAGTGATGGTCTTTGTTACCCCAGCTCTTGGGGTAACTTAGACTGGGTGGTAAAATCAATTTTTTTTTTTTGGTAAAATAACTCCAAATAACTCCAGGTTTTGGTGCATTGTAGTAGAACTCTTCTAGTTACATATACAAATGACAAACTTGAGGAAAGTGTCATAGTTTGCAAATGGGGGGCGCCACCCCATAATGAGGGAAATGTGACTACCTAATGGCAGCCCTGATGGGGTAATATTGACTGGCTTGGATATTAAGTTAAAATTACCATATATAAGACTCTGTAGAGTCTGAAACATAAAGAAAAAACATAAATAGGCTGTCAAACATAAAATATGTTATATATGGTAATTTTATATTAACTTCCAAGCCGGTCTATGTTACCCCGTCAGGGCTGACATTAGGTGGTCTAAGTTACCCCATTTGGGGGCGGCGCCCCCCATTTGCAAACTATGACACTTTCCTAAAATTTGTCATTTGCATATGTAACTAGAAGAGTTCTACTACAATGCATCAAAACCTGGAGTTATTTAACCAAAAAATAAAAAAATTGGAGGGGGTACTCTGACAGGCTTTAAATAATAGCTTTTTTTTGTGGGTCACATTTTTAATTTTTTAACCTATTAGATATGCAAACTTTTTAAATCTTTCTATTGTGTTATGTAGCCTCAGTATTAGGCCTTTAATGCCCATTGACAAAATTTTTCTATGTCAAATAGTTTTTGAGTTGTGGGGGTTTTTGTAAAAAAAACAAAAAGTGGTCTAAGTTACCCCGCCGGTCTAAGTTACCCCATTTTACAGGACTTTTATTGAATTTTATGCAATACTCAAATTTGAAGTCTTCACAATCTAATCATTTCTTGAATTTCATTTCACAGCAACAGAATTGTAAATGGACAACCTCTTATTGTACACAAGATTATGGTAGTTGATAAATTGAAAATGATTTAAAATGAATAATGTACGGTACTTATATATTATGTCCAGTTGTTTTTAAAAAGTGAACATTTGTTATAAATGTTGGCTTAATTGGCCAATCTGCACATTAACAGCAACTACTTAGATTGGTAGTTAATTTTATTACAATTGTACACAAGTTACATTTTGCAAGCTTCAATCAATATATTAAAAGAACATTCTGTAAGAATATGTATTTTGCACTACGCATACAGAGGTCTTTAGTCAATATATTCTTCAAGGTTCTAGTCAGAGTGCTGCAAAGCCTGAATGGTAGGAAATCTGTGCCCACTTCTCACAGTGCACAGTTGCTACACTTGAGCTTGCTGTCTTTATTTCAGGGGAGGGGGAGCAATGGAAGGTTTTCAGGAGGCCAAGGAATGGCCTGTGCATCACTAGAGCAAGGCTAGAACTAATCAGCTCCAGCCAAACTCTGGCCTCTCTCTGTTCCACTCTCAAGTGTGACAGCTCTGTAATTTAGGACCTCTGCCTGCCCTCATTAGGTAATTTAGGACCTCTGCCTGCCCTCATTAGGTAATTTAGGACCTCTGCCTGCCCTCATTAGGTAATTTAGGACCTCTGCCTGCCCTCATTAAGTAATTTAAGACCTCTGTCTGCTCTCATTAAGTAATTTAGGACCTCTGCCTGCCCTCATTAAGTAATTTAGGACCTCTGCCTGCCCTCATTAAGTAATTTAGGACCTCTGCCTGCCCTCATTAAGTAATTTAGGACCT